CTATTCATTAGTTTGGTTTCAATTTGATGCTACTTTTATTTAAATTTTACTAGACCAGAAGGACTGCACTCAGTCGTCATATGTAAGGTGATATTTTACGGTGCAAACTGTCTTTCATTCTTTAAATGTAGTAGTAAGGTGATATTTTTCGGTGCAGTCTGTGTTTCATTCCTTAGCTGTAAACACAGACCGGACTATGTATGCGGGTAGGAGTGGGAATCGTCAGTACAGCCTCCTAACCGCCATGTATTGGAAGGACATGTAACTAATTTGCAAGACGGATGTATGAAAGAATGAGAGAGAGAGAAAGAGAAAAAGTGCAGTAGCGTGAAAGTAATGAGAATGATGTAACAGATGAAAGGGAGGGGAATAACATATGATACGGGTAGTAATTCTAAATAGTTATGAGGAGGCAACTTTTATGAGAATAACTTTCTGACTAGGAGTTTAATTTCTGCATCATCGGGGTGGATGAATTTGCTCAGTACTGATCGGTTCCTGAAACAAAATCTTAGAACAGAACGTTCTACTTTGGCAATATCAAACTTTTTTTGTTTATAGATATTTATAAGGCGTCTAGCCCAGTCATGAAACTCCTCTGGGAGGGTGGAAATAAGTACATATCGAAGTAGTTGTGATATAATAACACTTTCTTGTACCGCATGGTCCATATCGTTATCAGGATTTCCACCGTAATTAATTGTAAAGGGGTAGTCCAGGGTCTTATTGGATATGCTAAAAATGCATCTGCCATCTTGGCAGAGGATTTCGATGTTTAAGAAACAGGCACGTTGTCCAGAGTAAGTGGTATTGAATTGTAGGCTGAGCCCATAGACGTTGCTGGCAATTTCAGCAAAGTCGGCGCAGTTGACATTTGGAATATCATCGGTATATTTGTAACATTTATTGTTGATGTGATGAAATTCAGGCGAGGTGACACTGCTCAAACGCCTTCATCATCCACACATTATTGGATACTACGAGTCATTCAAGGCATGCCTTTGTTCTTTTTTTTTTCTCGTTTCATCAGTTTTGTGAACTTTTGGCGTAACTATGCTGAGATCGATTGAGATTCGGAAAAGCTGGGATTCTTTGTTTTTCTCAGACAGAAAACGCATTTTCAATAGTGATGCAGTATGCTGAAGGCGGTACAATGGATAGGATGATTTCCGAGCGCAAAGGCGTCAAATTCAACGAAAGTACTGTACTTAATTACTTTACTCAGGTTTGTTCTGTTCAAAAATATACCGGAAGGTTATCGAAATTATGCAGCATATGTTTTGTATCGTTGTTTACGATTTCGCAAGTCACTTCATTTTCTCAACTGTTTTTTCTCCAGCTTTTTTGCCTCTGAAGAATTTTTCTGTAGTTCAGGGCTCGCCTAGTCGTTCTAAATGCGAAAGGAA